GAAAAATATAAAATAAATTTATAGATTTTTTTTAATAATAAATTTGATGTATTTGCCAACTTTTATAGAATATTTACATAATAAAGGTGTTTTTAAATCATCTAAATGCGGCGATAGAAAAATATAAGAAGATAATCTTTTATAAGAAGACAATTAGATATTGTTTGGTTATTTGTTGTGATAAACAAACATCATATTTCGATAATCTGCTAATTAAATTGTAAATTGAGATATCTTAAAAATATGCTTCTATATGTGTATTAAAATAAACAATTAAATACATGTTTTGTTATTTGATGTTACTTATGAATATGTGTATTATATTTTTATAAATAAAGTATTTAAGTCAATAATTAATTAATAATGAAATTAAAATATTATCTATTTATATTTATATATTGTTTTATTTTAATAATCAAAAGATAGAATAAATGTGTCTTTTATTTATTATATATTTTTCAATTTTAGATATTTTTTATATATTTTTAAGACACCACAAATAATTATCTTTTATTCTTTGGATTAAATCAAACAGATTATATTACAACTCATTATATATTATCTGATATTTTAATTGTTTATTATCAACAATTGACTTTTTGATTTATGTTGCAAATATAATAAAGACAGATTACTTTATTATTATATAATTGTTGTTTGTACAATATAAAGGATTATAGTTGTTGTGTGACATATAAGAAAATGTAATTTGATTGTTTTTAAAGAATACAATACATGACAAATATATACTAAATTATTGTTTATTAAAATAACCTTAAAAACATAAGACCACAATATTTATTTCAACATGAATTACTTACACTATGGTCTATTATATTGATAATAAATTATTTTGTGTTTTTGTGTGTTTTTCATAAAATAAATTGGGATTATACAATATGTTAAATAGAAAATATAAAACCACCAAACAATGTCTACACTATGTGTACATGGTAGATGAGACATTGTGTAAGTAAAATATAAAAATAATTGATAGAAAAACAGTTGTTTAAATATTTACAATTTCGGGATATTAAGAATTATTTAATTAACTTATTTAAGTAATGGAGTAAAACCAAATAGAATGCCACTCCACAACAATTAACTCGCAAAATTCCAAAAATTTACATTACAAACAGTGTCATTTAACTCGTTAAAATTACACTGAGCATATTGGTGTTGCACTTTACTTTCATGAACAATTCTTATACCTCTCCATCGTATAGTAATTAAATAATAAAAAAAACAATAAAAAAGCTATTACTGACAATGAAGAAAATAGATATAAGACTCAACGCTCCGTTGTTTGCATAAAAACCCTGTGAATGAACTTCAAAACGTCAAATGGCACAGAACGTGATATTGAAATCATCCGATGGAAAGCTCTTCACA